ACTAGATATAATCTTTTTCCCTTTATCAAGGCCAAGATTTGTCTAAACAGACCTTCAACGTGTGTGATAGTTCTTTAGGTCCCACTTAGCCTTGCCCTTCAGCCACTTCTTCTAAAACACCTGTCCTCAAAACGATAGCTCCAACTTCAGCTATAATATCCCGAATACTGACCATAGGCAGACCATATGTTCAGTAGAATTCATAAAGCAAAATGGTCATCAAAAGAGTATAAAAATTTATCAACAATTTTTACAAATCAAAAGACAATGAGCTATTTTCCTCATTCATTAAAAGATGATAACTATACATCTCAACATCTGAAATTGACACTTTTATGATGCCTCATCAGTTAATTAAGCCGAGTCTTACCTATTGATAGATGGATACAAAACACCTCTTCGAATTTTTTCATCTGTCATATAAGATACAAGACTGAACAAACAAACAAAACCACATTAGCAAGCTATCTTGCAATTGCATGAAGATATAATCTGTGTTAAGAGCAAGGAATAAGAAGTCCTCTAGATCTTTTGAATAAGTAGCATGGAACATCATTACAAAGGTTGGGGGCATAGAATTTTATTGCATACCGCTCAACAGCTGCTTGGAACATTCTATCAGTGATAATATGAGCACCAGAGAGGAGCTCCTAAGCCAATCCTAAATGAGCGAAAACATAATTTTAGAGGTTAGTTGACGTAAGTTTCTAATTTCTGAAAGTACTTATAGGAACTATTACAGACCCGGGAAAGAGGCACATGTCATTGCTTGATTCACATGGCCTATTTTTCCATTCCCTGTCCACAAATGTTATGCAATTGGTACTCGTCATAAAAATAAATAAAAATGTGCAATCACACATCAATGCAATGGTAGTGTATAATTCACGAAGCTAAAATTCTTATGGATAAAAATATTGAATACGGTTCAATCGAATTAACACAATAACTATCAATCTAATTTGTATAATTCACGAAACTAAAATTCTTATGGATTTCTTTGCGTCCAGCAAAAGAAAGTGTAAAGAAATTACCTTGCCCTTCATGAAAGTGATGAGGCGAGAGAGAGAAAGTAGGGCCTTGTTGACCTTGCCCATAAAGAGCCTCTTCAACACCACTGCATTGAACTTGCTTCCAGTCCTCCTCAACAAAAATCGATACAACTACCGTATCACACATTATGTGATTTCAGAAAATTCAGTAGCAAAATAAATAAGAAGGATAAAAATAACCTTCACGAGGAGTTTGAGGTATATATCATCAGATTTCGGGGCCGTGCGCTTGGTCTTCTTGTTCTTACCTCCAACGACCAAATCAAAACCCTAAATCGAAATTAAAATTAAAAAATACGAACTAAAATGCAGATTGAGAAATAAAGGCGAGGAGAAAGAGATGCAGATTGTGTAGCTAAGAGTGGAATACCATAGCTGCTGCTCCTGCTGGTACTGGAATCCGTTTGACAAGATAAATGGGATCTAGGGTTTTGCACTGATTTTGTGTCGTGTTGTTATAAAAAGGTTGGTTATGGGCTTTGATTAGGTTGCCAAATTGATAAAGTTAGGGTAATTAGTAATGGCCAAAGAAGGAAAAATAATAAATTTTTTTGCATTTTTTTACGGCGTGCACGAAAAATAACATTTTTTTTCTCATTTTTTACGACGTGCACAAATGCACGCCGTAAATAGTCTTGTTTGCATTTTTTACGGTAGTTTAGTTTTTTATGGCATGCCTACAATGCACGCCATAAATTGTCAAATTTTATGGCGTACAGAAAATGCACGCCGTAAATACTTTATGCAATTGTTTATTTACGACACACATTTTTTGCACACCGTAAAAAGTCTATTTTTATGGCACGCGTTAATTGCACGTCGTAAACTTATGTCGTAAAAAGCTATTTTTGTTGTCGTGTCTCCACACTTCATCCACTAGGAGCATTCCCATTTCCCCCATTAGTAGTAGATGACATTCCTTTCAAAATCAAAGCAAACTCCTTGGTATTGTATTTATTGTTTTTCATCTCTGTAACAAGTTGACTAAAAGACTCTGGGAGCTTCAGGCGATCAGGGACTTTTTCAGAGTTCAATTGATTGAGGATCTTCACGAAATCTTTGACCACCCTCTGCTACAAGAACAACAGAAACAAATTATAGCAATGTTAAAACAGTGAACCAATAATTGGAGTTCAAGATACACAGATAGACAAAATAACACTGACATTAACGAAAAAAAGTGAGAGAAAATGAATGGAGAAACCAAAAGAAGAGTAACAAGCATAATTAGGGGTGGACGTAGATTGGGTTGGGTCGACTTTTTCCCTAACCCAAACCCAACCCAACATGGTCGGTTTGGTATAAACCCAACCCAACACAATCCATGGAAAGATTG